ATTGTTTTAACCGGTTTTTGTTTTGCCGCGTAAAAGGAGGTAGATATTAAAAAGTTTATTGTGTAAAAAAAAATAGTTTGAAGGGGTGATGGTTTTTTGATCACTTTAGAGTTTAGATATAATGTTATATAGTTATGCATATAAAACAAACACCTTTTTATTTAATGCTTAATTTCATAATGTTTATGAAAATTACGTCACGCAATTTTGAAATGAGATTGATAATATTATAAAAATAGAATTTAATATTTGTAAAGTAGAATCAAATATCTTAAATCGTAATGAATCGATGCGTATAAGTTTTATTTATAGCTGGCATACAATATTAAAAAGATATTGTTTACATTTTCGCCTACCGGTATCGTGCGACCTCCCGGACGGCCACTGACACTTGCGGCGTAAAAACATAAAATGGTCAGGCACATGAGGGAAATATGTTATTGAAGGCTAACTAGACGACATGTTGGTTTATGGCAGTTACCACCCATCTGAACAGGATCAGGACTGAAGAAAAGGATCTTCTCGACAGTCCTCAGGTTGCGTGCGTTATATATGTCGCCAGGTCGAGTCGTCTTAGGTGGCAACCGAACCTCCACCGTAGATTCTTAGCACCAATTATTATTTGGTAGTTATTATTTGGATTATTTATAAAAAAAAAATGTGTGGACTGAGGGACCACGGTTTAGATGTTTGTTTCTTTGATCTTTAACACTTTGTGCAGTAGTAGTAAAATAAGCTTTACAAATTCCTTACTAAATAGCTGTCACTACATTAGCTTCATTTTAAAGACACCGTGTCAGATCTGGCTGATAGACTGTGTGAACTGAGGGACAACACTTTAATGGCTAAACTTTTTATATATTCTTTTACAAATTCGAAAATTTGTTCTACAATTGTTTTATGCCCACTACTTATAATATATAATCCTTAGCAATCAATTCCCGGCAAGCTCCCTCATTGCTCAAATACACCATTATTTGTTTTCGTATGTTATTGTCCCGATGGGATGATCAAATGACTGTAGTGTGTTCTTTATGATTAGCTATGATTCACCCGTAGCGACAACCACTAATTTACGTTTCAAATAAACAATTCCTAGGTGGTGGATTTATTACTTTTTGTACATTTTTAACTCTCTTTTACTTTTTGAAATATGCGTAGTTTGGTTTATATGTATTTTAATTCAATTAATATAAAATATAACTTAATATTTCAGAAAGAAATATTCTCCTTTATATTTTCCTAACCATTGAGTTATATGTACTACGTACTAGAGAAGCCATTCCAAACAAAAATTGTGTCCTACTCTATGTCATCGCGCATGCGCGGGAGTAGTAGTCGCACATGCGCGAAGACTTTAATTTAATATAAAATAAGAATTTAATATAAAATAAATATAAGAACTTAATATAAAATATCTTAATTTAATCTGAACAAACATATTATATTTCTAAATAAAATGTAATAATAATTGTTTTATGGAATTCACAAATCTTCAATTTACGCAATATTTAGTTTGTATGGATTGCACTACAGTTCAGTTGAACATAGTCAATGTTCGGAACATAATATCTGTCAAATATTTCCTTTCCTACCTCATTCCAAAGTGGTGCCACCCTAGTGACAGAAAAAGTTGTAGATGCTTTTATGGTATGTGTGTTCCCGCCTTTTGCTCTCACGGTGACAACACATCTGCATTCTGATTCTTAAACAAGAACAAATGCATTTGTTTATGGGCACACAGCACAGCTAGCTTTCAATCAGGTGGGCTGAACTCGTTTATCATCCGTACTTATATAAAAAGGGTTATTCATACGTGAACGCGTAGTAGAAGCGCAAAAATAAAACACACCACTAGATTTGCATCTTATTTATTGATTTGTCCTCCCAAAACTTTGTTTTCGCTTATGTTTGGACTTACAAGGATTATCTTTTCTTTCGGCTACTTACATAACATTACAGCTTTATAAAGAAATCACAATGTGGAGAGTTGCCGGCCGCCGCCGGGCGGACCGCTACACAGTTCCCGCGATCAGTCTATCCTTGTCGCACACACGCACGCGAACACGCACCCACACACACACGTACGCACGCATATCATCACAAACATTATCAATGAGGATTTAACTTAATTAATATTATATAAATTGAGACGTGAAGTTATAGTAAAATAAGAACGACGATTAGCAGACGCCTTTTGCTGGTTAGGAAACCGTCGGCCAGATCCTGTTTAAGCTGGGATAAGTTACGTCAATCAGAAAGTGATACAGTAAAAAACAAGACGGCAGTAGCAGTCGCCCGGCGGCGACCGGCGCGGCGATTCACAGACACACAAACACACACACGTACACTCACGCACACACACTCATAGCCCATTCCGTCAATATTTATACCCGGTCGCGACGACCGAACTATCTCAAAATGAAATCTCTATAGTAGACTTAACTAACCTTCTGTATAATTACAAATGCACAGTATGTATACATAATAACCATACACTTTTACAATATGTATATAATTTACCATTCAATTAACCGTTAACCGTGTTTACATTATGTATAGTAAGGGCTTAATCAGTTACGTTCGTGATCGCGGCGGTCGGCTGCGGACTTCGCTGCGGCGCCGGCCTACACTATACATTATCAATACAATAAAAATAAAACGAAAGAAAAAACTATTTACAAGAGACGTGAATGATAAATTCAACTACGCGTATACTAACTTGAGTGGATGATGCGACAGCGAAATCCGAAGCGAAGCTTAACTAAATAAAATTATATTTATTTATAATGTATATATATAAAAAACTTAGTCTCGTAATTTAAAGTCGCGCGGTCTGAACGTCTGCGCGACCGCACGACGTCGCAAGTGACACTTGCAGGCAATATACACGATCGCAAACATATTTGCAATCACTCGTCCGCAGCAGCGACTCACAAAATATATAAAAAGGTAACGCTCGAGGTGTCTGCGGCAGCTCGGGCGTCTCACGAACAACGCTACTATCTATACACTGTACAAATATCTATGTGCAGCTATGAAATGGACAAAGTCACGCGGCAATCCTACCCTAGCCATGAGCTCCACTGAGAAACGCCATACAACTCACTGAACCGCATTCAAACGACACACACCGAGTTGTATCCGGTTCTTTGGAGCCATGGTTCTCGTGTCGGAGCGATGGAAGACTGGATATAGTACATTTATTCGATTACACAGTTAATTATATCTGCCACTTTACACTATGAAGACAATATAATTTTGTGGCAGTGCTCGGTTAAATGTCCATCAATTTGCAACGCTGAATATAATAACAAGAAACGCACATGGCCCCTGCTAGCTAACGTTAACGTAGAGCACGCGGTAATTTTTATAAATATATAAAAATAAACTACCAGAAACATTTGCAAGCTAAAATATTCTGTGTAACACTTCACTGCTCTCCATTACTATTTCCAGCGTTGCAAGCGTACAAGAAAGTAAAACAATAAAATAAATAACAATATAACATTATGATACTCTCACTATTCGACAGCGAATTTTTCATAAGCGTAACGTATTAACTAGAGTATGTGGTTCGGGCAGATTCCCTTTGACTCCGCCTGACACTCGCGGACACTTAAAGCTTTCCACAACACATGAACGGTAAATCCCTGTTTTGTGATACAAGTTCGTTGGAACAAGTCTTGAGTCAACACTTGTTTTCACTGAATAGTACTTTGTCCAATGTTTTGGAAGCGATTTTATCACTAAGTTCACAAAATTGTCCTCTTGTGAGTTTGCTTTATAGTCCATTTAGCATTTTTTGTTTCTCTAGTCATTTCCTAGTTTTTTTTTTAACCTCTTTATTGAGAGATATTATGGAGATTGGTATTGTCATAATAATATTTGTCTGTCCCATATTTTATTTTAATTAAAAAATTTGTTTAGTATTTATGGTGCATTCGTCACAATATAATGTCTGAGATTTTCATTGCTTCAATCATTTGTAGTAATTTAGGTCACCGGTGTAAATTGTTGTAACAAATAACAGAATTTCTTTCAACAGAATTCTGAGTTTCAGGGACACATTCAGGCTGATGCATCTCTTCATTGTCATTATCTTTATTTTCTACAGACTCCGAGTCAGGGTCAGGTGACTTGATTTGTTCATAATCTTGATTCTCGTTTGGTTTCATGGTTTCTTTAGCCTGGACTTCTGATGAGGATTCCTGAGTGGAATTAGATATATCTTGGTCTTTAAGTTGGTTATCTGTTGTAGACTGCCCCGCTGAGTCTAGTGGTTGTTGATTCGGTTTTATAGCAGTCGATTCATTTGATGCTTCATCCAGTTGAGGTTTTTCTATGTTTGTATTTGGTTTCAACAGTCTAAACGTTAGCGGTATTGTGTTCGAGGGTACATTTGTACTGAGTAAAGCGTATGTATTGGTGGAATCTAATTTCAGTCTCGGGTCTGTCATTCGTGACGGAGTTTGCGATGTGACTGTCTGTGTGGGGGCTCGTATCAACTTCCTTTTAAGAAGCAATATCCTCGGTTGGTTGAAAACGGGCCTCTGTAGATGGAATCTTGGTGCGATCGTCGACGTTATGGGATAGTTCTTGACGAGCGCCAGTCGCGGAGCGTTTGTCGCGGCCGGACGTGCAGTTTGGTTTCCCATCCGTATATACACGTCGCAGTCGGGCATCAGTGCGAATCTCGGCACATCGTTCGTTCGTCTCGCATCACACGTGGTTTCCGTTGCGAGTGTCGGTGCGTTCACGTTCACGAAGACAGTGGGCGTCCGTGTGGAGTCAGAAGCGCTTTTAGCGGCGGCATGTGTCGAGTTGTTAGTGAAGTCCGTGAGCGTTCGCGGCGGGCGTTCGGCGGAGCGCGTGCGGGAGCGGGAGCGGGCGCGGGCGCGGGCGCGGGCCGCGGCGGCGTGGCGCTATCCGCCGCGCGGGAGGCGGGCGCGCGGGCGGGCGCGGGCGCGGGCGCCGGCGCGGGGGCGGGCGGGCGCGCGTCAGTCCTCGTCGGAGAGCGGCTCGTACTGCGCCGACATGAGCGGCGCGGGCTCGGGCGGCGGCGGCGCGGCGGGCGCGGCCGGCGCCGCCCCGCCCGCCCCGGCCGCCGCGCTCACTGCCGCTGCCGTTGCGCCTGTCGACCACAAACTTATAATTTTAATTTTTTGTTCTATTTAAACATATGGATACTCTTATTGTAGTGATACTGAACGGCGTAGTTCAGATGACAACAGTTTTTATCATTAAAAACAGTTTCCCAACAGATACATATTTTACTAGTTCAATGAAAACAGAAAAACTCTTAGGCGGCTTTTTTCTAAATGCCATGTCTAAAATTGTCAACGAGACACTTGATTCTATGTAAATTTAAACCTTACAGAATCATGTTAGCTAAAATGCAAAACGTGGAACACTAAATCAATAACTAAAACGTATATTCATAATGTCCTTCGAGGCGGATTTGAAACCACGACTGATGTATACCCATAATAATATTATTTTAAGTCATCAAATTCCCAAACTTTTATTTTGGAAAATTAAAAGTTTTTAATTTGGCACATTAATGTCAAAATTGTTGATATAACTGACTTAAACAATGTTTTTTATTGGTATTATCTAATTGAGTGACTGTTACGCAATAAACAAATTTTTTTATAGTTTTATATAATACTATTTTGCCTAGAATCTATTAATGTGGTATCATTTAATTCTTTTTTTTAAATAATCATCAATAACCATTTATTTTATGAAATTTTAATGAAAGTATATAGTGAAACATATGTAGTAAAGTGTATATAGTGAAGTGTATGTAGCGAAGTTTATGTAGTTAAGTGTAAATAGTGGAGTGTAGTTAGTGAAGTATATGTAGTAAAGTTAATGTAGTGGAGTGTAGATAGTGAAGTATATGTAGCGAAATTTATGTAGTGGAATGTAGATAGTGAAGTATATGTAGCGAAGTTTATGTAGTGGAGTATAGATAGTGAAGTACAAGTAGGGAAATGTAAGTAGTGAAATGTAAGTAGTGAAGTGTAGGTAGTTAGGTGTATGTAGTGAAGATAGAGAAGTGTGTGTATATGTGATGTGAAGAGATGTTGTACAACTGACCGTCTGCAGCCGCGGCGACGTTGAGCGCGGAGAAGGGGTACGCGTAGGCGGTGGGGAAGGGCAGCGGCTTAGCGCGCTCGTCCGCGTCGCTGCGCATCACCTCCACGATGCGGTTGGTCACGTAGTCGTACGCCGTCAGCACGCCGCCCGCCACGCCCACGCCCACGCCCACGCCCACCCCCACCCCGCTGTAGCGCCGCGCGCCGCCGCCTCTGCGCACAACGAACAATCATTTAATGGTACAGATTTAGATCAGTAATGCCCCGATCCGCGTTATGGATATTACGAGGGTGGATTGAAAAGTACTCGGCCTAACACAGATCCATTCAATTCTAAAAATCAAATCTACCCACATTATTTAGTTCAGTTCAGACTAGTTCATTGTGTGAAGTTCGAAACGTGTGCGATAATTAGTTGTGATTTTATAAATTTATTAACAAAGTAATCGGACATAATTTCCGCGAATGGAGCAAATCGAGCAGCGTGCCATCATTAAGTACCTCCATAAGAAGGGGCTATCATCAAAAGCCATCCATGATGACATGGTCAGTACATTAGGCGATTGTGCTCTGTCATATTCATCCGTCAAAAAATGGATAGCAGAATTTAAGCGTGGTAGAGAGAGTGTGAAAGATGAACCCCGCTCTGGAAGGCCTTCGACGTCAACTACTGACGAAAATATTAAAAAAGTACTTGATTTAATAATGGGAGACCACAGATTAAAAATTAGAGAGATAGCCGAGATTATAGGCATCTCTTATGAACGAACTCAAAACATGATTGTCAACGAGTTGGGTTTCCACAAGGTGTCTGCGAGGTGGGTTCCGCGACTGCTTTCAGTTGAACAAAAAAGGACGCGATTGACTATTTCACGCGACTGTTTGGAGTTATTTGAAGCCGATGCAGATGATTTTTTGAATCGTTTTGTTACTATGGACGAAACATGGGTTCATTACTGTACACCGGAAACAAAACAACAATCAAAACAGTGGAGAAGACCTGGTTCACCACCCCTAAAAAGGCTAAGTCGATTTTGTCGGCAAATAAGGTGATGGCTTCAGTATTCTGGGACTCGAAAGGTGTGATTATGATTGATTATCTTGAAAGGGGTCAGAATATAAACTCTGATTACTACTGCACCTTACTACGTCGTTTACGAGAGGAAATAAAAGAAAAACGTCGAGGAATGCTCAGAAGAAAAGTCCTGTTTCATCAAGATAACTCCCGTGTTCACACGCCAGTACAGTCAATGGCTGAAATTCACAACTGTGGCTTTGAACTGTTACCGCATCCGCCGTATTCACCTGATCTGGCACCATCAGACTTCTTTCTGTTCCCTAACCTAAAAAAGCACTTGGGAGGTCAAAGATTTTCGACAAACGACGAGGTCAAAGCAGCTGTAGACGCATATTTTGACTCTAAGGAAGAATCATTTTTTTCAACGGTCTAAATGCTTGGAAGGGGAGGTGGCAAAAGTGTATTGTACTTGATGGTGATTATGTAGAAAAATAAAAATATAACTGATTTAGTATTTGTTTATTTTCTTGGTTAGGCCGAGTACTTTTCAATCCACCCTCGTAGTACTGTAAACTTTATTCGTACTTCTAAAGTGCGTGACCTTCAATAGTTCCAGGTCACTTTATTTATATACTATTTTTACAGTTAGGCCTTACACTTAAATATTAATTTTGCATTGAGTCTTAGATTGGTTAAAAATTAAATTAAAAAAAAGAGTAAGATTTAGCTTAATATATTCTAAATGGTTTAAGGTATCATCCCCTTCAGGCTTTGCACCCATCTTCCAAATAACCTGTATATCGAACAAAACAAAATGCAGTGGCGTAATAATTGTTGATAGAATTATTAAGCGTCTACTTATATACCGTTACAGATATCAATAAAATAATTTAATATGTTTAATCTAATCAAGCTTATGGCCTATTGAAGTTTCGAAAAAAATATCATACATAATTTAAACTAAGTTAACTAGTTGATGTTACGATCCGCCAATTAAGGGAGGCAAAGGTCTTGTACTAAACAGCCTAGTCTGATGTCTACTTTATTGACAAAACTCTTCTCAAAATACTAATGGGTTATTTTAGAATTCCCTCTAAGCTAGTAATTACTCTGTATAAGCATAATTGAAAATTATATTTACTAGTTGTTGTTTTTGTAATGATTTGCCAATTAGGGCAGACAAAGTTCTTATACCATACAGCCTAGTGTAATGTGAATTTTGTTGAAACTGGAATATTTTTAATTCCTAACTTCCTGCAGTAGATTAACAGAAGAAAAAATTGTTCAGGATTTCAAACAGCAGAATTTTAAGCTGACCGTCCGAATTGCAAATATAATAAACCATTTTTGATATTTCTTTTTAGATGGTCAACCAGAGTTAGATCCGTACCACTAAAATTATTATTCGTAATTATAAGTATTGGTTTACCACGTCCTCGAATAAATAACATGTTAAAGAAACTTGCAATCTAAGGAATTAAAGTATTTCGAGGACACGTTATGTTCACACATTTGCACTTGAACATTACAATTCAGTCTCTTATGCCCACTTTCACCAACGACCCGTAAGATTTATGGGACCCCTTAGCATATTTAGGGGCCAGTTAGGGGATAGTTTCCGTTTCACCACTTTTAAAGGGTCCGTTACTGACTAAACGATCCCCTAAATTTATGAGATGGATTATTGGTCCCATAAACCTTCACATAAGTAAAAGCGACTTTTAGAGGACAAGATGGACCGTGATCTATTTGATTTTCTTGATAATTTAGACACAACTGATACTATATTTGATATAAATCGTAGTCGAAGACCTAAAATATATCGAAAACGACCAAATTATTTCAACGATTTCGATGAAATAGATTTTTTCCGAAGATATAGGTTATCTAAATCAACAGTGATATATTTGTTGGAAAAAATTGAACATATTTTGGAATTTCCTGATAATAGGTGAGTACCTAACTATTTACATATGTTATCAATTTTAATGTATGTACAATAGTCTATAATGTTATTAAAACTGTAGTTTATTAAATATTTAAGTTAAAGTGTGGGTTCCTGGGTTCCTACATTTTCACTTATTACCTATTATACCTAGCTACGAAATAAAGGTAAAAGCATAAAAGGTTACTTTATTGCTCTCCTAACAGTAACTTTTAAATAGAAAATGAGCCTGTATAGGTAAGCCGTAGGTACCTGTTTGGTGCTAACCTACCTACCATGGTAAATTGATACCCGAGGTATATCTTACTTAAGTTTCTACCTATTTTAATTTGTAGTTGTTTATATTTTTTACAGGAACAATTCCATACCACCCATAAATCAATTATTAATAGCTTTAAGATATTATGCCACAGGCAATCACTTGCTTGCTGTGGCTGATATGGGTGGTACTAGTTTGGCTACATCCAGCCGGATAGTAAAGCGAGTGTCTCAAGCAATTGTTTCCCTACGTCGAGAATTCATTATATTTCCTGATACAAACAGAGACCAAGACAGAGTTAAGATAGACTTCTATGATATAGCTAGATTCCCTAATGTACTAGGCTGTATTGATTGCACACATGTAAAAATTCAGTCACCAGGTAAATTCCTCATTTTTATTTAACTACCTTTCACTAAAAGTTCATTTCTCTTAGTAGTCTATCAAGCAATGCTGATGAAGTATTATTTATATCTATAGGTGGAGATGATGCTGAACTATTTAGAAACAGGAAAGGCTACATGTCCATAAATGTCCAAACAATTGCATCAGCAAAGTTGTTGGTCCAGGATGTTGTTGCACGCTGGCCAGGCTCTACACATGACTCAGCAATTTACCAAAATAGCTATATTTATAGAAAGTTTGAAAGAGGGGAGTATGAAGACAGCCATTTACTTGGGGATAGTGGCTATCCCTTAAAGGTAAAAGAAAAAATAAGGAGAATAATAATATAATATTGATTAAAATTTAAGTAGGTTACAAAAAGAATTACAAAAATTACAAACAAAAAGAATAACATCATTCATCACAGAGCTCAAAATATTGATTAAATAAATACTTTTTATTTAATAAAAAGATTATGCATGGGTAAGGGATATTTAATTAATTAAAAAGTACACTTAAACTAGTTATTTGCAGAACCATTTTTAGGTATTCCTGATACATTTTGAAAGTTTAAGGTGTGACCTGGAATAGAAAAGAAATATTTTACATCATATAAATTACATTATTATATACAATAATACTTAAAAATATTTTTGTTTTAGCCTCATCTCTTGACACCTTATCTCAACCCTACAACAAGTGGAGAACGAAAATATAATGAGGCCCATACCGAACACGAACGCCCAACACGAAATGTGGTAGAACGGCAATATGGTGTGCTAAAACGAAGGTTTCCAGTACTTGCGGTTGGAATTCGTTTAGCTTTAAACAATGCCATTAATGTCATTATAGCTTGCTGTATCTTGCATAATATATGCATATTAAGAAATGAGCAACAGCCTGTGAATAATGATGATGTGCCTAACCTGGAAGAGCTAATTGCAAGGGGACAAATAAATAATATGGCATTTTCTGACAGACCTTCTTTGTCATATGGATTTCGCAGAAATCAAATTACACAATATTTTGATAACTTATAAATATCTAATTTATTATGTAAAATATATATAGTAATTTCACCAATAAATAAAACACATACCTTTTAATTGGTTGCATACTTCAGTTTTAATTTCCAATTCCTTTCTAGCTGTTTCTAACTGCAGCTGGTACAATTCTCTTTTAAATTTTATTTCTTCTTCTAACATTTTAATTTTTAAATCTTCCACAGTAGCCTTTTTAGAATTCAAATCTTTAAAACCTCCACATAACGTTGAAACAACTTCAGCTTTATCCTTATTTTCTTTAATTATTGGTCGTCGTCTTTTCCATATAGGTGTGGACTTTATAAATTGAGACGATGTTGGTGATGACAGTGTTGGAGCAATGTCATTATTATTCCCAACATCGTTATTTTCAATATTTTCCATATTTCTTGTATTGCACTAAAATTGTAACAAAACAAATTCTAATATAAAAATCACAGTGTAAATATAATATAATCATACAGTGGGTCGACACCTATACAAATGACTGAAATAATTTTGTATTGAAAATTCTGCCAGTTTAGTTCATTTTGTCGTTGTCGCCCCGTAGTGTTTCTCTGTCTAGCCCTCTATTGAACCACTGGTAGGAACGAAAGCATCTCCTTAAACAAACACAATAATATACATAACTTACTTTTATATAATATTATAATATGTAACAAACTTATTGCCCTGATTTCTACTACGGCATTTGGACTATTTGTCAGTCAGTTTCTAATTTTAATATACCTACATAATAGAGAATTCTATAAATACTAACATTTTCATTTTGAAATATTAAAATTTCCATTGTCTCATCACCAAGTATTGGTAATGAACTGGCTTCAGTAATTTGGTCAGCATCTGAATCCTGGACATCAGTTATGCCTGTACATGCTCAGCCCATCAAGTCACTGACTTGTTCCAAAATTATATCTGTTTTAACACACGATGGGCCACCTCCTGTGCCATTGTAACTGCTTTTGCTAAGTGCTTTGTATAACTTCGCATCAGTCTTCATTTTCTCCCAGACTCTCATAAGAGATTCTTTACTTCTGAAATGTTAGTGGTAGGTTATTAAAAGGCAATTCAGTACGTTCATCATAGTAGATAAAGAGGTTAATGTACTGAGAATACAGGTATTAGGTAGGTAACTTCTCATTCAAGTAAGTAAATAGAAACTCTTTAATACACACATTACATATTATACAAAATCAAGATAATAATTATGACAATAACTATTTACAGCTATAAAGTTTGGATGTAAAGGCAACTTAACTTTAAAACAACTATAACAAGTACTAAACAAAAGGTTTATTTTTATCAATAACTTACCTAGCCGTGGTTCCTGTGGAATTAAATCTTGTGCACAAATTCACCCACGCTTCATTCTTCGCTTGATTTGTTGTACCGTCCGTCTTTTTATTTAATATAACATTTTTAAAAGTATTCATTAACTTTACAAGTTTATCCTTTTCATCAAACGTGAAATTTTGACACCACTTTCTCTTATTTTCGGCCATAATTATAAAATAAAAAGTTAGAAACGAGATACCAAACGAAAACACCACGAAAACTTGCAGCTGTGACTTGCAGAGACAAATGTCAAACAGTCAATGCACAGATAAAGCTGAGTGTCAAATACGGTGACTTGTCAAACATAAACTAAAAATATGATATTTTTATTAAAATATTAACAAAATGAAAACATATATCAGTCAAAATATGAAAGAACTAATTTCTTCATTAAAATAATACATGAATACGTATTTTTTGTATTAATATATATCATTTCCGATAAAACCGGTAACTACAACTGGGTATCAAGCACTATCGTCGTAAAAAATCGGTCACATAAGGAAGGGTCCCCTAGCTATAAGTCCGTTGCGTTCGTGAAAACAAATTTTAGTTATGGGTTGGTTTAGGGAACCTTTTAGCTTAGCGGTCGTCTAACTATGTGATTGTTTAGGGGATGTCGGTGAAATTGGGCATAAGTCTCTTTTTTTAAACAACTCTTCTATTAAAGATGCTCTATAAGGAGGCCGATGCCCGGCAGTATGACGGTGAAGAAATTCACGTGGGCTGAGTATTTAACTTGTTAAAAAAGATAAAGTTATAGCCTATGTACTTCACACTGCTAGGCACAGGCCTCTTCTCATTTCTGAGAGGGTTCTTCTAATCCCCAATGCGTGTTGGCGAACTGCAAATGTCTTCGATATATTTTTTTTTATTTCTCAGATATGCAGGTTTCCTTGCAGAGGTTTGCCTTCACCGTTGAGCACGTGATAATTTACCTTGTGGAACGCACGAATTCGACATGCAGGTGTGTTAGTTTACCTGGAGTGATGAGTATCAGGCGGTGAGACGGGCTCGAGGTATGGCGCATGCTTGGGCGCGTCGCGGCGCCAGTCGTCGGGCGCGCCGGCCGCCCCGCCGCCCGCCCCGCTCGTCACCACGCTGCCCGCCCCGCTCACGCTGCTGCCGCACGACACTGCGCTGTACGCTTCCGACCCTATCGCGAATCGATTACTGCAACAACAACACAATGCACTCAATATTTACACAACTCATTGATTAAAATCAAAATGTGGTGGAGAGCTAGACTATTTAATAAAAAATAATTATTAAAATCGGTTTACATTTAGCGAAGGAATCACGTAATGTACAGATAAAAATCCAAAATACAGTAAATTAAGAACTTGCTTCTTTTGTGCAGTCGCCTAAAATTATTATTTTTTATCTTAGTTTTAAATAGAGCTTAAACTGTGGCTTGAGCAGTCTTTCGATTCTTACAATACTGTCTAATTCAATCCTTTAGTTTGTTTTTTCCGCTGAACTTCTTTATTGGAACAAATTCGTATTTAAACTTAAAGAGTTTCAGTATTAAACGTCGTCATATTTAGATAATATAATATACTAACTTATGGTGTTGCAAGGAGGTGGTGGGGCTGCAGAAGTCCCTGGTGATAATGTTGGAGGCGAGGTCGCCGAGCTTGATGCTGGTGGTATGCGCCACGCTAGCCTCCTCTCTCTCTCGCTCTCTCTCCCGCTCGCGCTCGCGCTCTCGCTCTCGCTCGGCGGGCGTGGGCGTGCGCGCGGCGGGCGAGGCGGCGGCGGGCGGGGCGGGCGGCGGGACGGCGGGCGGCGCGCTGGCTGCCACACTGCATGGTACGGCGCTGCCCTCGTCCCGCATCTTCTGGAACCGAGTCGGCCTGGCCTTAGTCAACTGACACACTAGCCTAACCCTCGCCTGGTCCTCGGGAACGGGAATGACAACGCGTTGATATTTTTATTTTTATTCGAGGATAGACACCACACGACATATATTTTAAACTTAATTTTAGATAGTAAATGATTAGTCGTAATTGGAGGAGAAAGAAAGAGACACATGTTACACATTGAAATCATTCACTTTACACAGCATACACTTAAAAGTACTACATAAAAATGAAAATAATGTATTATTTGTATAAATTATATTATTGAATAAATTGACAATTTATTTTAGAACAAAATAAAGAAAAGAAAATATAAAAGGGAACAATATACTTAAAATAAAACTTAAACCTCTTTGTCTTTAACAGAAGTGTGTACTAGTACTGGATGTCGGAGGAGTATTAATAGCTGTATTGCGAAACATTCCATCAGCTCGTGTTGAGCGATGGGAAAGTAACTGCGAAGATTTATGGGTACCGGTGCAAATAAAAATTGGCAATATTACCTCGGATGTTGCCATTTGCGCGGTATATTTACCTCCACCAGTTAAATCAGATACTTTGACGTATTTCTTTGACAATGTTGACAACGTTATGAACCGACCTAATAACGTCTTAATTATGGGCGATTTTAATCTAGGATTCATTAATTGGAGGAGAGATCATGATCATATTACGCAAATGGTTTCATCTAATTATAATAGTACACTCGGATGCGGTCTTGTTGATTTCATGTCTCTTAATAACTTTAGTCAATTTAACAACATACCAAACAGTGACGGTAGATACTTAGATCTCATTATGAGCAACTTTCCCGGTGTTGATATGTCAGAGCCTCTAGAACTTTTGAGTAGGCTGGACTGTAAACATCCTAATCTTTTGGTAACGTTACAAAATACTAACTTTGTCTATCTTCAGCCTAAGAAACGAACTGACCACAATTTCTATAAGGCAAATTACGAGGAAATTGCCTCGGACCTGGAGTGTGTTGATTGGGTGGAAAGGTTTTCGAACTATAACGTCAATGAAATGGTTACAAAATTCTATGATGAACTAAGTTTAATTATTGATATGTCTGTCCCCAAGCGCCGTCCTTCCAAGAGAAAATACCTCAAATGGTTTAGCCGCACACTAATTAAACTTCTAACCGAGAAAAATAAGCTACGCAACAGATATCGGAAATATGGTAATTCATATGATATATTAGAACATGACCTCTTACGGAGCCGCTGTCACAAGCTTATTGACAAGTGCTATAGTGACTATAAGACAAATATTGAGCATGGAATATCGAGTAACGTCAAATCTTTTTGGCAATACGTTAAAGACAAACGTAGCAACCAGTCAACTCTTCCCTCAAAAATGCAATTAAACGATTCCATTGCAGAATCTGGTTCTGAGATGGCCACTCTTTTCGCCAAACATTTTGCTTCCACGTTCACTTCAAATTTTGAAAAAACATATCACAACTTTGAGGATTTATCGTCGTTTACTTAATCGAATATTCAATTTTCTGAATATGATATCTTAAGAGCAATTAAACGATTAGACATACAGAAAGGAGCCGGTCCTGATAAAATACCTCCTCTATTTACAAAGATCTGTGGATCTCTTTTATCTAAACCATTAACGATAATCTTTAATTGTTCGCTCAGAGATGGTGTGTTCCCAGAGGAATGGAAAAAATCAAAAATAGTACCAGTATACAAAAAAGGGGAAACAAGCAACGTAAAAAACTACCGGCCGATTTCCATTTTGTCTACTTTTTCTAAAATGTTTGAGTCTCTGATTAATCCACTAATTATTAGCCACATAGATACTTCAGTATCCGAGTACCAGCATGGGTTCCGCAGGGGTCGCTCAACACAGACTAATTTGATCTCATTTATTTCTGAAATTGCACTGGGGGTGAATAGTGGAAGTCAAATAGATGCTGTATACACAGATTTTACCAGTGCTTTTGATAAAGTAAATCACGCACTACTTTTAATGAAATAGCGAATGAAAGGGATACATGGTAATTTGCTTCACTGGTTTAGGTCTTACCTCAGTATGAGACCCCAGGTTGTTGCTGTTGGGGGTTTTGAGTCAGATGTATATTTTGCATCGTCAGGAGTCCCACAGGGCTCTCACTTAGGCCCAGTACTGTTTCTTATATTTATCGATGATATAGCGATGCACATAAAAAATTGTAAATTCAGCCTATTTGCGGATGATTTAAAAATTTACAGGGCAGTCAATTCTTCCCATGACATGAAACTTATCCAGGAGGACTTACTTCACACATGGTGTGAATCAAACGTTATGACCCTCAACGTTGATAAATGCTACCATATAAAATTTAAAAAAAGAAAAATTATTTCCCATCCACTTATGAAATTAACAGTTCAAAATTAACTGAAGTAGAAGAAATAAGAGACTTAGGTGTAACAGTGGACAAGCACCTTAAATTCACTTCACATATTAATAATATTTTAAATAAATCCTCGAAAATGCTAGGTTTTCTTAGGCGAAGTACTGCGGGTTTCCGTTTAAATGCACCCATAAAATATTATACAATGCTTTGGTCCGAAGTAACTTAGAGTACACTGGCGTGGCATGGAACCCTGTATATGCTGTTCACTCTCAACGCTTGGAGGGTATTCAGCGTGCGTTCACTAGGCATCTGGCATTTATTATTTCTCAGGGCGTATCACACCGGTTACCATATGAGCATCGTCTTGCCTTTTTTAAAATGAAATAGTTGCGTAGCCGTCGAAGAGACATGATTTGGTGTTTTTGAACGGGCTTGTCAACGGTAAAATAAAATGTAGTGAACTCCTGGAACGTGTTAAATTGACAGTGCCAGCTCGCATACCCCGACATCCTATCAAAAAATCTTTTGCCTTGCCTTCTGTAAGGACTAACCTTGGACGCCATTCTCCTCTTGCCAGATGTTGTGCACAGTATGATGAGATGAATATAGAAACATTAGACATTTTCCACGACTCGTTGTTTAAATTTGAACGAAAACTGGCCGGCCTTTTGTGAACAGGCATTTGTTCTCAGTTAAGGTTTTAGTTTTGCTTTGGTGAATTTTATTATTTTATTGTTTTCAATTTTTTAGATTAATATTGTGTTGTTATTTGATATCTCCTGTCAATATTGTGTACGCCTATAATAGGTATATGTATAAGAAATTCTGCTTTAAAAATGTAACTTTTATAATATGTATACATGTACTGTTGGTGTACCTTTTTAAATAAATAAATAAATAAATAGTTTGTCACCGTTACTTTAAAAACGGTAGAATAGGGGAATACAGCTAACAAGTTTCTAAGCATAAACATATCCCTTATTTTCATTAAACTTAACGTCGAATTCATTAATTTTTGTATTTGCTAATGGTACTGTACTCTTGCTTTTATACATGTAACGGAGACAAACGAGAATCCTTTCATCTGATTGTAAATAAATGCTGTGGTAAATAGACATCTACATCTACCCTCAATTACGAATCAAAATGTAGATGCGTAATCAGCCCCGAGAACTAAGATAGAATACCTCGTTAGCAGTAAAAAGGGGTATCGCTTTTTCTACACTCACCACACAAAACACAGCAGTATTAAGCTGCTTTTTTTGTGAGAGCATAGTCCTTCCCCGATAGAACCGAACCATTCCTGTTTCAGCTATAATAAATCTTGCAACGTAATGTTAATAATGTTGAGTCAATAATAATAATAATAATAAAAACTAGTAAAGAAGTTCGTGCTGAAGTAATGTAAGAAAACCCACCGGAAACCGTTGGTCGCTGTTCTGGTTGATCTGGTGCGTGATGATGGCGTTGATGAGTGAGGCGGCCGTGAGCTTGCCGTCCACGGGCAGCCCGCGCGCCTCGGACGCCGCGCCCGCCGCCACGCCGCCCACGCCCACGCCGCCCGCGCCAACGCCGCCCACGCCCACGCTGCCCACGCCGCCCACGCCCACGCTTCCCACTCCACCCGTTATGCTAGTGCTGCTCGCCGCGCTCACGCTCACAGAACTCACCACGCTTGGCGTGCAGCTCACTGTCGTTCTTCTGAATAAATAATTAGTTATTTTTATAAACACGATTTTAAATTATCTTTGAAAGAATATTAGCTATTACTAACATAGCGAAAGTATACAAATTCGGTAAAAAAATTTAACAAAAGAAAACTAACGTCGAGGAAAAAAAACCGGTCAAGTGCGAGTTGGACTCACGCATTAAGGGTTCTGTAACATCACACAATTTTCTAGTTGGGGAGCCCTCTTTAATTTTTAATTTATTTTTATTATTTGTTGTTATAGCGGCAACAGAAATACACATTCTGTGAAAATTTCAACTGTCTACCTATTACGGATCATGAGATACAGCCCGCTGACCGACCGACAGACAGACAGACAGACGGACGGACGGCCGGACGAACGAACAGCGAAGGCTCAGTAATAGGTTACCCTTTGGGTAAAGAACGCTAAAAAGATAAACTCTTACATTAAAAATATTAGAGCGACTATAAATATTCTATATCAAATAGCAGAATAGCAATATAACTACTTTGCATATTTTTTGTGGGGGGAAAACTAACATCGAGGATATCGCACTATACACTATGTACACCTCTGTTTTATGTCAGCTGAAAATACTAATCTAAAATAAGTTTTATAGCTCCGGTACTCACGGGTCTTTCCTGTCGAGCATGTGCGTAGCTAACGCGCGATGTTTGGGCGCGCTATACACTGCCGACGTTCGTCTTTCCTCCGCGCTGGCTACACTCTGAAAAAAAAAGGACATTCATGTTTATGCTTAAGTTTGCTTTATCGCTTATTTATGTTAGAAAAGCAATGACGTAACTTACAAACACATATATATAGGAAAGAAATATACAGAACGTGTCGCGAACCTGTGCGTGTTGCAAATGATGTCGATCATGCAAAATCTGCGTCTGTTGTTGCTGCGGATGTTGCGTATGTTGCGGATGCTGCGTGTGTTGCGGATGCTGCGTATGCTGCGGATGTTGAGGATGCTGTTGATGCTGCTCGATTACGTAGTGCCGTTCTTGGATCGTTACCATGTTCCTATAACAATAATAAAGTTCGTTTTTATATCATTCAAAAGGTTAAAAAGTCACGGTCTATTTATTGCTATACGAATAATATCGGGTTACATAATATAATAAATATTGTTACCAGTTATATATGCTAAGCATATAATATACTTAAACGATTAACTTCTAAATATAATAGAAGGCTGTAAAGGTCTGCTTTAAACTACCTTATTGCCATAAGTCCAGAGTTTGACTAATCGGTGTTATCTTTATGATAGAATCTTGATAAATACCTAATTTAAACCCACTACAAGTGTTTAGGCTGAAACATGGGCATTTGAAACGCCATCCAAACGCGTTGGACTAGGCGAATCGCCCGATGGTGTGAGGTGGCGTGCGGTCGCCGGGGGGGGGGGGGGGGGGGGCGGCGTTCGGCTCTCGTGGGCGAGGGACAGTAGCTTGAGAGCAGCGGCGCGGTCGATTAACGTATTTTGTGGTGACCGCTGCAGCGGTTTCACGCGACCAGTTTTGGTTTTGTGATCTACATTTTAGTATTTGTGCGCGTTTAATTCGCCGAAGACCGCCTCGGATTACTTTGTCTAAGTTGTACGTTCATGACAAGAGACTTGTATTGAATTTGACTGATTGAAGTAATTTCGTTTGAAAGTAATTGCGTCAACTGTATAGTGATTGCGTGTTGAAGTGCATTTTGCAGTATTTAACTTGCTTGTGTGACGTGGAATCTTGCGCGCACGCCGAGTAGAGATACGGTCTGGAATTTGAAGCTCTTATTCCATTTCGAGGGCGTGGCCCGGTTAATTGTTTTTGGAAGTCATTGTTTAATTGTACCGTCGCGTTAAGAGTCTTTTGTGTGTTGATTCTGTAGTTAGTTTACGTGTCAGCTAGGCTGATTTTGAATTCTTATTGCGGCGTAGTATTTAATATCGTAGGAAGGAATTTAGTTTGTTGTTTGGGAACGCTGAACTTTGAGACTCGAGAAGAGGCCGCGTTCGACCCCGTGTTTGTAAATTTGTGCTACGTGAACCCGAAACCTCGGGTGTCACGTGTTTCATTTCGATGAACGTTGAATTGGTTGACTTTGAAGTAAATTAGATGTACAATAAAGTTGATCTATTGAAATAGTGTACAATAAAGTTGATAGACTGAAATAGTGAAATGAAGTAAGAAGTTGTCAATTGGTGACGTCCGCTGGAGTGATACAACATGGTGGGGCAGCATCGGACCAGGCCGCTGCCCGATCACCTCAGTTGGGTCAGGGCAGGAACACTACTACACACCACTTACAAGCACCTACACCTACCTACCGCCTGACCGAGCATTGGGGCAGTCTTAGCTTCGGAACCAGGTACGTACTATTTGTTTACCTAGCCTTAGATCTATTGTGTAGAGTGATAAGTCTCCATAGGCCGTTGGGCCCCGTCCCTTGTTACCCGTCGATGGGATTACTCATGGGCCCTAGTCCCGTCAGCTTTGTTGGGGCAGCTAGGGGCGTGTTCAACAAGGAATAAAAGAGCATCAATCATACCGATCTCTGTTTTGCGTTGACGCACGTTCTCGTTGTGGTTCATATTGTGGCTGCAGTGTGCGGCGATCTCTTTCTTGCTGATACTGCATTGGTTGCTGGTACTTTTGCGATAACGGAAATTCTCTTTGTTGCCTGAAATAAATAGATACATATATATTTTAATAACTGAAGCGACAAACTAACCTAAAGTCTACCTGATGGTACATAAAAAAATGAGGCTACAGATGCTATGTCACCTTTGAGGACTAAGATGGAATTACTCAAAGCCTGTACTGGCTCTGTGTACCCTTCAGTCTGAAACAGCAGAGCAGGAACTGCTATTGGCGGCAGAAATTGGTAAGAGAGTGACAACTTTCCACCCATACAGACTCCTAGGCAGAAAAGGAGTCCTACCACCTAGTAAATAAAAAGGGTTACCGTTGCTGTTACAGCCTATTAAAGTCCACTGCTGAACATAGGCCTCCCGCATAAATTGCCTCATAGGGGGGACGTTTGCCATAATTGTCCCGTCTGGCAAGCGAGTTGGCAACCGTAGTATTTTATTTTTAGTTGTTATCAGGAAGATGCTGCTGATGAGATGCCCATCAAGTTGAAATGTATCGTGAAAAAATAGCTAGTGATCCTTTCATAAAATACTTACTTACTTACTTACTTATCTTCACGCACAATCCCTGACGGGGTAGCCAGAGAGAACAGATCGCCAAGTGTCACGATCCTTACAAAGGATCCTTTCATAAAATGAAGTGAAATTTACTAAAGGTACATGCTTTTAGTGACATATGTAATGGGGTACCTATGCTTTCGATTATAGTTAAAGTATTTTGCTATAATAGCTTATTACTTGTTTTAAATTTTAGAGCAAAAAATACGCACCTTAACTCATGATGTTGCGTATGTAACGTATGCTGCGGATGTTGTGAATGCTGTGAGTGCTGCGAATGCTGAGGATGCTGCGGATGTTGCGGATGCTGCGAATGCTGCGAGTGCTGCGGATGTTGTGTATGCTGTGGATGTAATTTGGGTTCCGGCTTCGGTTCTGGCTGTGACCCTCGCGGTACTGGTAACGCTGGGGCGGCTGACGCTGCGTTTACAAGTGATGTGAACGCTTCGTGACCTATAAATAATTGTTGTAATTTTAGGTAACATGACAATTAAATATAATTTGAATTTTTTTAACATCATCATTATCATTATTACGACAGCCTATCAAATTCCATAGCTTTATTGCCACAGTTGTTACGTTTGGCATGCGGGTTGGCAACCGCTATTTTTGTATTCGCTTCAGTTGTTATCAACAAGATTTCAATCTCCTGATTCTCTTCTTATACCGCCACTATACGATGACTTTAAGGAGTAAATTGAGATGATTTAGCTAATTAAATAGAATGTAGGTATATAATTTGTAAGGTTTACCTGGTGGCGGATGCGGATGGGGGTAGGCGTGCTGGTGCTGATGCTGCTGCTGATGCGGATGCGGATGCTGGTGCGGGTGCGGATGCGGATGCTGATGCGGATGCTGGTGCGTGTGGCGCGTGATGACGGACACGGCGTCGTGGTCGCGGCGCGCCGGCTCGGCGCCGCGCCGCGCCGCGCCGTGCATCTGCTGCGACGTGATGAAGTCCGTCAGCATGATCTGGCGCCGCTCCAGGTGGTACCCGCCGCCGCCCGCCCCGCCGCCCGCCCCGCCCGCCGCTCCGCTCGCCGCCACACCCGCCGCCGCGTTCGCGCCGCCCGGCGACTGGACCAAAACATCGATTACATTCAAAATAAAAAGGTAGAGGTTAATAGCAATCAACGACTTCTGTCAGCTTGAGGCTGATAACGTTGCGAAATTACAACGCATTCTCGCTCAAAACATAAGTTAATAAAAGCTACTGAAAATGGTCCTTCGAGCAGGATAGTAAGCTACAACATGTAGTATAATATACTGAATAAAATTCTTACCGCAGAAAATTGCGATGGAGACTGCGGCCTTGGTTGCGTATAATAAGCGCCTGGGCTTCTTCTTTTGAAATATGAATCGAAGGGACGCTTATCAGGTGCATGATGAGGTCCCAAAACTGGTGTCCCCGCTGTGATCGAGCCGGCTTTGGGTTCGAAGCGCTCGCCTAAAGGCGTGCCCGCCGTTATAGAACCCTTCGTGTTGCCCTTTGTAGGCGTTCGGGCAGGTAAGGAAGTCCGTGCTTTTGCGTTGTACAAAGTGGGCGATTCCCGCTCTGGGGCACGGTACGTGTAGTCATTTGGCGTACGACATGTTGGCTGGAATAAAAATATTATTACAATGTTATTTTTGTTTTTAATAGATTGTCATTAATACATTTAATTAAAACTAGTAAGTCGTCCCGACTTCGCCTGGATATTGTAAATTAATGATAAAATATAGCTTAGATCCCTCCTGGCATTGCCTTCTATCTTCGATTCGTAAAGTTTCATCACAATCGGTTTAGCCATTTCGTAGTTTAGTATGGACGGACAGACAGATAGACAGAAATTTTAAAAATGATTATTTAACAGTATACAAATAGCCCCCCGAGCTTAATAATATAGACACAAATTTCAATTTTATTTATAGTTAAAGTTACAGTCTATATACGTCCCACTGTTGGGCACAGGCCACCTCTAATTTCTAAAAGGATTTTAGTGCAAGGAAGTGTCCGCCGCGCTGTCTCAATGCGTGTTGGTGAACTTCACATATCTTGGAAATATGTTTTTTCTTATTTAACAGATATGTTTCCTTATGATGTTTTCCTTCACCACCGAGCACGTGGTAAATCAGCACTTAAAATTGCAATTAATAATTTCATTGGTAGTGGCGGGGGTCAATGTATGTAAGTATGTATCAATGAATGGGATACGTATAGATTATATAAATATAATTAATAAATTTACATTTTTCGTTTTTAATTTTAATAACGTTTTATATACAAAGCAAAGTGTAAATTATTAACATAGCACTTATTTGTCGGCTTTTTATCAAACGAGGTGTGACAATGGTGTGTGTTACCGGCTTGTTGGGATGCGGAAAGGAGTCGAGTCGCGGCCTCTTGACGCTGAGGTCGAGCAGCGGCTCGTGGCGGTCGTGGCGGTCGAGGCGGTCGTCGGGCGGTGGCAGCGGCGTGATGGTGGCGGGCCGGTGCGGCGAGTGCGGCGAGTGCGGCGAGCGCGGCGCCTGCGACACGTGCGCGTGCGCCAGTGCGTGCGCCGCGTGCGCCGCGTGCGTGCCGTGCGTGCCGTGCGCCGCGTGCGCCCCGTGCCCACCGTGCGCCCCGTGCGCGCCGTGCGCGCCGTGCGGCCCCACCACCGTCAGCGTCGCCAGCGACTCGTGCGCCGCCGCCTGCAATTACGCCGCCCTTTCTAACATTACTCGATTTCACTTGTGTAATAATAATAATAATGTCCTCCAGACTCAATTTCGGTCACGGTGGCCAGTCTCAACGGAGACTTGGCGCAGTACAGAATTATAGTGCACAAGTGTATGCGCAGGGCACAGGTGCACTCTATTCCCTTACTCTCAGTCCGATGGGACGGTAAACCGGCCACGACCGGAGAGAAATTAACTGGACTAACGGCTTAACGAGGCACCGGAATTTAACACCACCAACTTTCTGAATCCAAGCAGCTACTGAGAATTATTTAACGGAAAATCTCAATAACTGATTTTTTTTTGGCCCGACCCGGGGATCTCATGATCAGCAGTCGCGTTCCCACAACCACTATATCAACGAGGCCGTCAATAGCCATGTAGTGGTGGTTTTTGAACTGAATAAGTCTTTAAATTTGCTTATATAGTGTGAAACAATTTAGAAAACTCATGTTACTGTATAGATGGATGGACTTGTACTAACGAAAGTAGACAGAGCAATACTCTTGTTGAAAATGGGTGGTGTACCTTGGTGGTGTGGGAAGCATGGTGCGCGTGGTGTTGGTGGTGCGGCGGCCGCGCGTTCTTGAGCAGGCTCACCTCGATCATGTTCAGCACCACATCGCGCACTGTCAGCGGTGCGGATGCACACGTTGCCACCGCCTACACAAATTTAAATTTAAATTCTTTTATCTACTATAAATAGGGTAAGTATTATGTTGTTACAGTAAAAATAAGTTGCTTAAAGACTTATCTTGCCATGAGTTAGAGTTTTAAAACTTTTCCAAATTACCAAACACAAATGATAATAGATTAAATATGCGCATACTTATGACAAATCGCTATTTTGTAAAATTATTTAGTTATTTCAGTTGCATTTATATAGTTAAATGTGTTAGTTGTCATACCGATGTATATGTACTAGATAGTAAAGTTTGTACACGTGCATGTGTGCGTGCGTGCAAGAATCAAATTAGGTACTACGTAGTTAAGTTTGTAGGTATGCGTGTGTGTACTGGTGCGTGTGCGTGCGGGTACCTTGGCGGCGGGCGCGTCGTTCTCCTCGTCGGCGGTCTCGGTGGCGGAGGAGTCGTACTCGTCGCGGCGCGGGCGGCGCGGCGCGGCGGCGTCGGTGCGCGGCGCGGGCGGCGGCGGCGGCCCCCCGCCCGCCTCGCTGTCGCCGCTGCCGCTGCCCGCGTCCGGCTCGCCCGCCTCGCCCGCCTCCCCCGCCTCGCCCGCCTCCACCGCCTCCAGCTGCAGCCGCTTGCGGAACGTGAAGTAGAAGGCGCGCAGGGAGGCGGCGGAGCGGCCGCTGGCGGCCGCCATGCGCTCCCAGGCGGCGCCGTGCTCGCGCAGCAGCGCGCGGAAGCGCGTGGCCTCCTCCTCGGCCGGCTCGCCCAGCGTGGGGCCCTCGCCCAGCGCGTCCAGCCGCCGCGTGATGCGCTTGAAGCACGCCACGCAGCACTTGCTTAGCTCGCTGGGCACCTCTGCAACGTCACGCACGTTCACGTCTCTACTATTATATATTACGTACTAGAATAAACACCGCAAACACAATCTGTGTAGCAGTACGAGACGCGTACAATAAAGAATACTAATACTAATACGCGCACAGAATACCTTTTGATACAGATAAAACCAACCTTACCAGTCTCGAACAAAACCGCAAAGTATCCAGTATTCGGTTTTCTACAGGATGCATTTCAGAGAGTGTGAGCAGGGATTCATAATTTAATTCCTCCCTCTCCCTTCCACTATCGGACAACCAGACATTTGGCCAGTCTCCACCCCTTCGTTGTTAACTTACATCGCTACATCGTTCATCATGCGTACAGCAAAGGAGTCGCTTAAGTTGCCAGCATCTACGTTTCCATAATACATACATACATACATAAACACTCACGCCTATCACCCAGAGGGGTAGGCAGAGACTACGGACTTCCATTTGGCGCGATCCTGACACACCTCTCTCGCCTCTTTTACATCCATATATCTACGCATACACGCTCGTCGGTTAAGGGTACTCCTAATCTGGCCCATTTTTAATGTATCGCCGATTTGGTCGATAAACCTTCGAGGCTGCCAATCGAAAACCTTTCTTACCTATCGGTTGTCAGTTCTTCGAGCTATATAGCTGGGCCATAATATGAGAACAATGTGTATGTGTGTGTACTCACGGAACTCGTCGAGCAGCGGGCGCTTGAGGTCCGGCGCGAGGTCGTGCCAGCGCGGCGGCAGGTGGCGCAGGCGCTTGGCGCGGCCCGTGCAGGCCGGCACGGCGCAGCGGCCGCGCCCGCCCCGCGCCCGCAGCGCGCGCCCGCGGCACGCCTCGCACGCGCCCGCCGCCCCGCCCGCGCCCGCCGCCCCGCCCGCGCCCGTCACCGCCGCAGCGCCCGCCCCGCACGACCGCACGCACGTCGCGCACGCGCCCGCACCCGTGCCCGTACTCGCGCCCGTACTCGTGATGGTTATCGTCGTCGCGGAAATGCTCGACGACGGCGTGCCCGTTCGTTCATTAGCTACGGAAGAGATGTCACGGTAAAGCTATATAAAGCTATCAAAACATCTTTAAACACGTTAGATTAACACAAGTGGTAAAATAAAAAACTTTAAGTCTCCAATCAATTGTTTATATGATATTAAAAGTTGTATTTGTATGTTGTTGTGTGTGTATGAAAAAATGTAGAGTTCCCTATGAAAACTCGAAAATTTACACAAAATTCAAAAACATATAAGTATAGTATTATTTGTAATCGTTTCTTATTTCAAAATTAAGAACTACATCAAAAAAATATAATTTAAAATTCAAACATTTTAGAAGTTATTACACTGTAACATATTGGAAAAGACAAACAGAACGAAACTTTAATGAACTTAAAAGAATAAAAGAGAAAGAAAGAGAAACAACCAGATTTAAAATTAATTTAAACTATAACGGCAATGTAAGTAGCGTATTTTTCCGAAAATTCACATTTAATTTAAAGAATGAATAACTATATCCGCGGTTGGAATTAATAAGTTCATGAAACAAGTTACGAGTAATGTATCAGTAGATATACAGCTATTAGTTAAGTACGCGAGTTAGGCATCGTTCCGGCCCAGGCCGGACGGATTCGTGTAATATTCAGAGCCCGCGTTGAGCGCCAATTTGCAAGCTCGAGTAGATTAACCGACAGATTTGCTCACGATAACTCGCTTGCCCCATTGTCGGCTTAAATATTTGTAAATTATTTATCGTTAAATCCGACGCTTAAATTGTTTTGTTCTACGGTAGAAATTTCAACAAGCGCAAAATAACACTAAACCGTTTATGAATTAATAACACACTGTCCCCTAACCTTTTGTTAACTATAATACGGATACACGAGGCTCGTGTATCACGAGCGGACACCAGTACATTGTTAAATATTTATCGATGATCGATTAAATTGTCTGATTAATTTACTAAATAACATAACATAATAAGTAAATACAGAATAAGTTAAGCAACCAAGTTAAGCGAAAGTTAAAATATAAACATCAGAATAAGCTAAACTTTTAAAGCAAACTGTATAGTGCAAAATTGCATCCTTGAATCATTAAAAGTAGCTCGCTCGGTTAAACTCAGATTTAGTTTTAACTATTAACGAGGTTTAGACAGTTTTGCATTATTGGAGTTCGAAACAATGCGAATCTGTGCTCTAAAATGCTACTGGAACTTCATTTGGGAATTTTACATTGCGGTTCACTAAATAAAAAACAGACTGTGAACCGTGTTAAACAGAATTTACCTATACCGGAGACCCTTTTTACTGGTAACGAGGTAATCTATCATAATATTTACGGGTAACAAAGCAATTACATTAGATTTACGTGTCTTTGGAACACAACATACATTATTATTATTATTATTATCATCTATTCAAAAAAGAGAGAAAAAAATTCTATTAGCTTTTTCTAACTCTTCTATGTAATAGCCCCATCTATTATAGGGGTTAAAAGTTTTCTTGCCCTTTTTTCATCTTTTGTATTGATGTGTCGCATCTTTGCACAATATCATGACTTTTAAGCTTCTTGCTTTATAAATTGCATTTTTTTATTATCAAAAACTAAAAGTAAAAGGTGTGCAGTATTACACCTTTTTAGTTTATATAAATATTATAAATAAAAACAGTTTTCATACTTTTTAATTACGATTGTTTTTCAGGTTCATCAAAACGTCCATAATGTTATAGTCAAGTCTTTCTAAAGTAAACATTTAACAAAGATTATGCATAAGGAGTACTTCCATATGTACGAGTACAAATAAAAATATTATCCTGTAATTTGGTTGAGTTCCTTACGAATAATTCCTGACCTATGCTACTTTTTTTTACAAAATCTGTTATCTTTATAACATAACTCTAAAAGCTATAACAACATCAAAAATAAATTTCCCGCAGAATAGCTCGTACAGCACGTCGGTCCGTTCCTTGCTAATTAGTTTGCGAACGCCGAGCAAACTTAGAGGTTTATCTACGAGGTCTTCGTCTTTCAGTATGACTGCGCTGTGTAATCACTAATAACACTGAATTAAACTGTTTAAGCCTTGCTCTAGATGTGATTCAAGAACATTGCTACTTTTAACTATTAAATACGTTTTTATTCAAAATTTGTGTTATAAGTAAGTTGGTCTTAAAGGGACGACCAAGTTACTTGATTGTTGGACCCAGAACTATTAGTCTTACGAGTACATTCAATAGTCGGAGCCTCGTCTATATTTTGTAATCACTGTAATATGTCTCACAAAACTGACAACTTCCGAAGTCAACTTCCCGTAAAGTAACTGTCCTGCATCTAAACGAAGGTTATCACGTTTAAATTTTATAAGGAGAATTTTTATTCTTTATTAAAAAAAATAACTTTTACAATTACCTTAAATAAGAACTTTAGTCGCAATTCGGTTTGCCAGAGTGACTAATTGTAAGTTTTGTTTTCTTTTGTTTAGAATAAATAGAAAATTGATTTGAATAGGAACATAATCTAGTATTAATTATGCAACAAAGTGGAGAATGGTATTGGTTCGGAAACTATATCATCATTTCTACTCGAAATAGAATGCGAGACTAAGAAGTACATTAACGAATGTGATTTTACACATTGGATTCATTCAATCCTTATATTTTACACAATTATTCATTCAGCCCTTATATTTTACGCGTTGATTCATTCAGTCCTTATATTTTACACAATGATTCATTCAGTCCTTATATTTTACACAATAGCATCTACCTACCATCGGCCCATAAACATCTACATTTATCCTCGTTTGCGAATCAAAATGCAGATGCGTTGTCACCCATGAGGACTAAGATGGAATGCCTCTTTTCTAGTACTCGTAAAAAGGGTCTCCGGTACTCTACACTCACCATACGAAACACAGCAGTGTTAAACTGCTATTTTACGTTGGTATTCTGTGAGAGCGTGGTCCTTCCCCGGTCGAACCGACCCATTCGTGCTACAACTATTCCACTAATATACCTGCAGCATGGCTCTACCACGTATAAAAACGTCTGTGGGTATGACTGTCGCAATAAATTTTCCATTACTTGTATTAGAACCTCATAGACGGCTCCGTGGCGCAGTGGCTTAGCAAAGTTGTTGCGCTGGGGGCCGCGGGTTCAAATCCCGCACGGAACAAGTATTTGTATGGCCTACAAATAATTGTTCCGGGTCTGGATGTTTGTCCTTGTGCAATTTATGTTTGTAAATTGCCTCCACGACACAGGAGAAAATCCTAGTGTGGGGGTAACGTTTATTTAAAAAAAAAATAGTAAAAAAAATAGTGTAGTAGTTGTGTAAGAATATCCACTGCCCTATATCGTCCCGTGGGTGTTGTAAAAGGCGACACAGATAAACTGAAACAGGAGATGGGCAGCAGCATCTTTATAATAACAACTCAATAAAAACTGCGGTTACCAACTAACATGCCTTGTGTAAGGCATATTTCAACTAAGGCAAAATCCCCTACGAACTTTCAAACACCAAACTGAAGCGGGCCAGCCCTCTTAATCCGGCCACGAAGGACCATACTGAAGCGTACTGTCCTCACGGGTCTTGCGTCCGCGATCAGGGATCAACCAAATATTTACCTTCCATATACAGACCAATACCACACCACGCTGGGTTCGGGACAACGAGGTGGGCATGACCCCAGTTAAAAACGTTCGATTCCGTTCATAAACCGTTTTTTTAAAGAAAGGGTTGACGACTAAGGCGACGGGCTTACCATTCCATATGGAAATGGTCCCGGTCTTGACGCCTGTCATATGTGCCTATGTGGACTGTATACTTCTATACTGAAGGATTATGAAAATAAAACAGCAATTTCTTCAATAAAATTCGCCTTGGAAATATGATTCTGAACTTTCACTACTTTCCCTAATTTCACTTATTTTCTTTCTTGGTTATATCCCGAAACTGTTGCTGTTCTCGAACAAATAGCAAACGTAGCGGCCTCCTATCCTAGTCCAGAAGCTATACCGTAAGGAAAACCGCGCGCCAAGCGCCATTTCGACATAAGCTAGCTACTAATTTTCACTAACACATTTCCATTAATCACCCCATTTACACCACCCTTAATAAGAAAACCCCTCTTATCTTTGTACGCGGTAGAGCCATACTGCAGCTATATTAATAGTATAGCTCAAAAAAACGGACAAGTGCGAGTCAGACTCGCGCACCGAGGGTTCCAAACAAATCCGTAGGTATATAAGTTTAAAATTATTAAAAATATTTTTATTATATGATGTAACTAAAAATTTATGCTTTTCGCAATTTTTCCTTTATCTGTGCTATAATACGTTGCTTCGTACCAAATTTCAAGATTCTGAGTTCACGGGAAGTACCCTGTAGGTTTTGATTCCCTTGCGAATGTCGAAAATTTGCGGCATAAACGGCTGTATCTTTTGATTGCGTTGGCTTAGAAGTTTGATTTTTTCACAGCTCTAAGGGACAGTAGACTTGAGTATTTGATATGAATTTTAGCTTGATACCTCCACGCGTTCCTGAGAAAAAGGGTCTTTACAGACAGACAGACAGACGGACAACAAAGTGATCCTATAAAATGTAAAAATGTAAAAATTTCGTATGGTGAGTGTAGAAAATCGGAGACCTTTTTTACTGGAAAAGAGGCATTTAATCTAAACCTTTACCATATAGCAGCTACACAATTAATTTATAGCATTAGTAGCTATACAATTAAAATTATTCAACCAGTTTGCAGTTATAATAATACACAGTTTTCTTCCATACTATAAGAAAATGTTTTGTAACTTGTTTCACACTTTTCTTAAGTTAGACTTCATTTTCAGCGGTCCTAAATCCATGGCCGCTACTGTCGATTAATCTCTCCAATTACTGATATTTGAACAAGCACTAATTGGATCCGGCTTCGCGATCCGCTGCCGCTCGTAATTACACTCCGTATAATTCAGTGTGAATCAACGTTTTGGCAAATTGGCGCCCAACTTGGGACCGCCTCGTTTTCCTAAAAATCTGC